GTTCCTATGACTCAACAAAGAAGAAAAGGAAACAACGAAACCACACAGTCTTCACGCTCCATAGTCTTCACACAATGTCTTCTCATGTCATAGTCTTCAATATGAATATCTTCTCATACCACCATTGTCTTCAATGTCTTCATACATTTTTAGGGGTCATCTCCGGTAGGTAAACCGAATCAATGAGGGACACTACCTGCGTTATCCTACAATTCTCACAAACGCATTAGTCCCTCAACCAACTTTGTCGTCAATACTCCAAAACCAACTAGGGGTGGCACTAGATGCACTTACAGATTTCAACAAGTGACTACATACGTAGCAAATGAGTGAGTCTACACTCTAAAATATGTCTATATACATCTGTATGTGGTAGTTCATTTGAAATCTTCAGAAAGACAAATATTTAGAAACGGAGGGAGTATATATGTCCACGAGGCTTAATCAATACATCATCGATTCCACCAATATCCCTCTCTATCCCCTTTATAAAAACTGTGATGCCTTGCACGCCGGAGTTGGTGTCGGCCCCGACCAGTTGGCTAATCGTGGAGTCGTGGTCACCTAGGCTGCAGCCTCGGCCGGAGTCGCAGCAGGTTCCACGAGCTGCATCGTCGGCGCCACTTGTCCTTTGGCTATTCTGGTGGCAGCCTCTGCCTTTCGTCAACCTTAGAGCGGACGACAACGATGTGCAGGAGCCACCAGCGACATCATTCTATTTATGTTGTCTTAGTTTAAGTTAATGTACCGACGAGACATTTGGTGGCAATGTAAACTACTTCCTCCTTCTAGGTAAGTCATCTTAGGTTGTGCACCATGACCAAGAAGGAGGGGAAAATGAGAGAGCTTAATGTTTATTTGCTAATTAATAGCATTGCATGCAATGAACTGACCACTGCATGTCGTGTTTGGTAGTCTCAAGTCATTAAAAGCATGCACACCCCAAATCTGTTATTAGTTGATATGACAAGAAACAAGAAACGAGGTAGAAGTTAATGCACCGCGCCTAAGTGTTTTGGGATTATTTGGTTTTCGCAAGATGACTTACACACCTAGACGGAGGAAGTATTTAAATTTAAAAAAATTGAAATGTGTCGGTCGCATTGGGCGCACCTATGGGCCAATAGACAAGAACGAGCGATGGTGTTGGTTTGACTGGCCCAAATGGACGAAAAGCGTGTTCGTTTGTGTCTTTGTGTTGGGCTTGCCCTAAGGGCAACTCCAACAGGAGACTCATTTCATCTGTATGTGTCTGTTTGGATCTGCATAGGCAAAAACCACAACAAATGCGGCGATCCATTTCACGAATCTATCTGTTTTGTGTAGGTGGGACGCAAACCCACGAGACGGCGTATGATCGAAAGTATGTATAAAGGGTGGGTGATTAGACTACTTACCAAATTTGATGGACTGTTTTTTCAATTTTAGTTATTGGCAGATTTTAGCATTAACTAGCAAGTCAAATAGCACCCTAAATGCGCAATTCTAGAGTGCGGTAAGTAAAGACATTGCAAGTGATAGTAATATAGAGAGATGGATTTAGAGAATCGCAAACACAATGATGACATGCTGACACGGAAGATTTTTTTGACCCATAATTTTGAAGGTGGTGCTATCGTACGTCCATGTTGATTGAGACTTCGATTTCAAAAGATCACGGTTGCGCCCAGAGGTCCAGGCGTCTCTCAAAAGATCATGGTTTAAATTTTCATGATCCTTTGAAGGTTTACTGATTTTGTTTTTTTAAATCACCTGTTCACATACGATAATAGAAGGAGTGGCAGGCCAAATGTTCAAGTCCGGCTGGACAAAGTTGTTACATCGAATGAATAGAGGGACATGTCCGTGCACACCTCAACGACACACCTAACCTCGCTGGCGCCTGACCACTGTCATCTCCTGCTCAGATGCTCGCTGCATAAGGACAAGAGACCAAAGAGCAGCCGGAGATACGAGCTAATGTGGGAAAAGTTGCCGGCGTTGAAAGCCATCGTTATCAATTACTAGACGAGTAGAGGTACGAAACGGAACCTGAGTGATGTTCGAGAGGCCCTTTCTTTAGTCATGAATGATTTGCATGTTTGGAGTAACAAGACCTTTGGCAGTGTTACAAGAGAACTCGAAAAGTCACGATCACAGTTGGAAGCACTCACCAACATGAAGGCAGATCGGCGGGAAATAAGAGCCAAAATCCAAGCTCGTCCCAAAGACCCCTCTATCTCCATTTCTTCATTCATACATCGTGGGCATCAAAACAAATTTTCCTTGACCGAAATTGATCTCAGCAAATATTTTAAATAGGGGTATGTTTGTACGAAATTGCATAGGAGCATTCGGTGACGCAGCCCACTGCAATCATACTCATCTAGTTGTCTCGGGATCAGCACCCACTATATTAGCCTCTCTATATTGTTTACCGCCCCCGTATCTCCGTCGTCTTCCTTTGTTTATTGGCCACTGTTACAACCAACTTGCCAGTTTATTCATTGATCAATTTATGAGTGATGAGTTGTTTCTCTGGCACTGTTGTTTCACCACACAATATATTGTCAATACATGTATGGAGTCAGTGTAATATTTTAATATTTTACTAGTTCAGCGATGAGGTAATATTATTTAAATGTGTAGACACTTACTTCAGCTCTCCGATTCTTGTACGGGCAGTGACTTTCTTGCTCAACTTATCTGGCTGGAAAGCTGCCAGGAGATGCATCCCTATGCGTGCGTCCCATGATCTAGATATCTCCAAAACGCACGCACCAACGTGGTATATAACACAGAACCATTATATAAGCACAAACCCAAATACTAATTTCTAGGAAATTATGTAAATAAATCCGAGATATTTTTCAACACATTGCATGTTTTTTTGTCTTAAGTGAAAACTGAGAATGTCGTGGTAATAGTTCTATTTAATTTTTCATAATAATGTCAGGATTTTTCTAAAAAATGTCAGGAATTATTCTCTTCTAAAAAATCTGAGAATTTAATAATAAAAATTCTGAGAAATGTGCAATTCTTTTTTGCGATAAACTTCTAATCTAGATGCAATTAATCGCACAATCAAAACTAATGCATGTTGTCACACACACAAACAAAACTGTTATCCTTTTTACAGTTCCTCATCCTTGTTATTGTTATTAAATGGGCGTGTACCCAAGTCTTTGCCATTTCCAGAGGAGTGCGTCGCCCCGTGCTTCTAGTTCGCGTCCTATGTTTGTAACTTCATTCATACGTGATACAAACGCCTCTCAGCCTCGTTCGTGCACCGTGAGCGGCAAACGTAGGTGCCAAATTAACCTCTCCTCCTCCATTTCCTCATTCATGCATCGTCGTCGCCAAAACACCCTCACCACCCGGGCCAGCCTCCTCCGTCCACCACCTCATCCTTCACGGCCCTCCTCTACCATGCCGGAGCCACTACCCACACCCCGTCGTCCACTACAAGAGATCGACGTCTTCCATCTACGGCGTCGGACCAAGATCCTTGCATCGCATCCTCTCGCTTCATCCGCGTCGTCGTCCACCTTGTCGGAGCTGCTCCTACGACCGTCTCGTCCACCTCAACGGGACTTATCCCCCGATGTCGTCGTCAGCCATCCCAGATCTGCTTCCACACCGCTGACAACCATAGCATCTGCAACACCCTCAACATATCGGCAGATGCTTATACGGTGCCGCAAGAGAGGTGGTACTCTTTCATATCTGCTTAAGTTATTGATCTCACCCTAAAAATAGATCGTCACTTGTTACTGTATTTTCTTGTCCATACCAAATCTTAGTTGTTAGTTGAAAACAAGCATCGGTTGCTAAATAGCCTGCAATCAACCTACATGCTTCGTGCCGTAATAGCACTGCTGCACCTATCAAGCTAAACAACATGTCACTTATTATTCCAAAACTTAGTTGCTCAAATACTAATCATACATGTGTATGTTTATTCATAATATTTCTTCTAATTCTTTGTGACGCAGAAATAACGTATTTCAATACGGTGGAGCCCGGCCTCCATTACCATTTTTCATTTGGCCCTAGCACTATGACGCAGTCTTACGACTTAGGATTTTCTCCCAAATCACTACTCCCTCCGTTCGAAAATACTTGTCATCAAAATGAATAAAAAGGATGTATCTAAAACTAAAATAAGTCTAGATACACCGCCTTTTATTCATTTTGATGACAAGTATTTCCAGACGAAGGGAGTACTTAGGCCTTCCACTATGTGTTAGGTGCCAAAAGTCTGAAAAGTTTGCCACCTACACATCGATACCAGATACAGAATATTTAGCACCGCCCACACAACGTTGAGAATTAGGCATCGATTGAAATTCTGGCCCACATATATAAAATAGTAGAGACCAGACCAAGACAACCCACTGCTCTCCTTCCTGCCTCACTGCACTCTTCCTGACCCACTGCACGTACGCCGCGCTTAATTTATTTGATTGAAGGATTTGGCTTCGGAGCATCTAGGTGCTCCAGTGCCCAGAAATTTTTATTTGGCATCGGCTTGGCAACGTAGGGCATCGGTGCCAAATGTCCAAAAAGCAAATTTGGCATCACTTTTGGCCTACATAGTGGAAGGCCTTACAATGCTTTAGGGCGGGTCTTAAGCGTTTCTTTTCTCTCTTAAAAACCCATGTTTTTGCCCTAACAGTTTATCAAGTGGCATCACTAAAATGAAAATTGACACACAAATCATGCATGATTGGACAACTTGCATGCCTTAACTCCTGACACTGCTGAAACAGTTGAACTACTGGTAACCACCAGAGTTTCATGCTTAACTCTAATCCAACCTCCGAACAGCTACAACAAAATAATTATACAGCAAAACATTTCACCAACGTATGGCACTCGACACTACATAACACCAAAACCAAAAGCTTGTGCAAAACATTGGCAATTGCGGCACCAAGATAGTACATTCTTCTGAGGCATTAGCAAGGTCAACTACGGGCGGTCAGCGTGATCACGGTATCTTCTATGCTTCTTTTTCTCTACTCGTCCGCTACTGCTTCAGCAGCTGCGATTGCTGATTCCAGTAGAGTATAGAACCGTTGGCTTACATTCTTCGCCACGGATATCATATCAAAAATGACGCTTGGATCCAACCCTGCGCCTCCCCTCTTGGTTAACCCACATATCTGGCCATGGCTGTTGACTGAAACGGAAACCGCAGAACTCATCTGCGATTCCTCCTCCGAGGTGGCATCAACAATGTAGTGCTTACCAACCTGGCTCAAGAACAAGTATATCACAAACCAGCAAATGTGATACATATATACACAGGAATGCATTTAGGATCATAAAGAGGGCCGTTTTTCGACTAAACTAATTGTAGCACCAATGTTTACTAGAAACTGGTGGTGCACAACAGCTTGAAACATACTTTGCCGCTGGAACATCAAAATGGAGACAACTGAAAGTGAATTGAATAGTAAACTCAATTTGAATGACCATCATGCTCCTATCAAATTCTGATTATTATGATGCTACAGGATTTCTAAACCATTCAATAATCAGGCAACTAATATACTCCCTCCGTTTCTAAATATGTCTTTTTAGAGATTCCAACGGACTAGATACGGAGCAAAATGAGTGAATCTACACTTTAAAATTATGTCTATATACATCTGTATGTGGTCCTTATTGAAATCTGTAAAAAGACTTATATTTAGGAACGGAGGGAGTAGCATACTTCTTGGCAACAACTCAAAGAAAAAGAAAAGGGAAATCATATACCTTGGTCAATGTAATTATAACAGGCACACCAGAAGTGTCGAATTGCAAAAATTCTTCATCACTAATATCAACCTCAGGCTCCCCATCCGTTTCATTATTAAGAGAAACATTAACTTTTGGTATACCTGTATCACTCAAAGCTACCTGCAAATAAGTACACAGAATATTAGTACTCCGCAAATGTACAAACCTCTTTTGTCTTAATTAATCATGCCAACCAATGCAATATGCACTAGACAGCACATCACAATCATCAAGCATAACACAAATAGTTGACACTTAATAGCAACCCATATAACAGAGAGTAGAAACTGCTGAAAATGACTCAAAGTCAAGCAATTCATCCAAGATTTACAAAAGTAACTAGAACTAATGCCTTGTTTACTAATTCCAATATAGCTCCGTGTTCTACGTTCCGAAAATCACATTGTTTCAAACAGCACCCTTTAAAAGTCTACCAAGGAACTCAACTAGCGATTAAACTGGGGGATTTGCATCAAAACCTCATGCATGGAAGCCAGCAGAAATTGTGATAACTGGCCTCCATGAACCATGATTTATATTTCACAAATTTGTTCTGCTTCGATGCCAGTGAATGACACAAAACAAATTTATCTGGGATTGATAAGCTCTGCAGCTACCAGTACATAAACAGAGATAAGAACAAAGAAGTTCAGTATAGTTTATATTTTTGAAGTTAAAGGACTGAGGAAGTATAATGGAAATCCATATGCTTCCATTTGTTCCTTCTTTGTATCCCAACATAATGGCTAAGTCAGTCCTTTCATTCTCCATAGCCATTAGAATGGAGTACAAGAAAATGGATGACACTTTTTAACCAAAAAATATGCTGAATTAACGCTCCTGACTTTACTGACACTTTCAACAAAAGATATAACTTGACACTTCAAGGGATACATTGGGTGAAGCAATGGAAACCACATACTACCTTTATCGCAGCCGCCAGTGCATCAAGCAAATTACCATCAGAACTGACCACAAGTCCATCAATGTACAGATCCCAGCAGGCTTTTCCCTCAACAACAATCAGAGACGATAAATCAATTGCAGCCCCTGAAATGTGCATTGTTGCATGTGGGCTCAATTAGATGGAAACAGTTATTGGTACCAAGTGATGGTCTATTTGCAGTCTTCTAGAAAGAAAACAATATAAAAACATAAAATAATGAAAATCCACTCTCGTTGAAGTTTTCTTGACTACAGGAAAGAAGAGGGCATCAGAAACAGAGCTGAATTTGGTTAAAATCACTAAAATCCAAACAGGATCTTCTCTTAATGGTTAACCCAAGGAATTCACGAGCAGACACAACTTGGCAGATCGGAGAGGAACCTATAAGCTGGCAGTGTTTCACTTTTCTATTTTTTACAGATTGATTACCACACCAGTGTCCATTGGTGGATAACCGCCCGATGTTTCTAAACCGAACATAAGTTCATGTTTGTGCAATAACCGTCTATTGCCTAAAATATAGGCTTGTTCATTTGGAAATGACTTGCTATCCTCGCCTATTCCTACCAACTAAATTAATCACAACCCACTATTCAAACCTGGCAGAAAGTGCAAAACCACAAACGTAAAGAGAATACAGACGTACACATCTTTCTGAAGAAGGAAATAATCTGACTAATTAGCTTGCTGTCCAGAAGGGTTTACTGCCTGATGTGCTTGCTAAGTTATAGCAGTTTTAAATGGAAAAGTGTTGTAGTGATGCATATCTCGATAGACTATCAGGAATAGAAAGTGTTTCACAGTTTCTTATAAAAACCTTTTTTAGGTTCAAATTTATACATATGAACTTGAACCAGTTTACCAAATCCTGCCCGGGAGCACAAAATCCGTAACCACCAGTTAGCAGCACTTTTGGCTGAAAAACGGAACCCTGCCTACAATTATTCCATGAGATAATCCACCTCAAGTTAAATAAAGGCAATTACACCATGCGATAATCCATCGACGCATCGGCGACTGACTGATGGCAATAGTGAAATTGATATGCCTGAGCTATTAAAAACCAGAGAAAATAAATTGTAGTTGATGTATCTTAGTGAACTTTGCTTGTGGATTGGTGCATCCGAATATCGAACTGCAATTCACTTGATAACACAAGTTTGATGTAATGAAGTTAATATCTGTGTAGGGTTGTACTTCCAATAGTATGAAAAAATGTACTGAAAAATTTGCTTAAAGCAATGTTCAAAAAGTAGGCATAATTGAAATCAGGCAAGAGAAATGGTATCAGATTTCATATCAAGTTTTTATGGAAATATTCAAGTATAGTATAAGAAGTTAGGAGTGCAAAGCTGCATGAAATCGATGTGCACTGCAATTCCAATGAAGGCTTCAACAAAAACTGCGTGAGGGGCTTGCAGTACTTGTTTCTTGAGCCACAACTATAAGCAACCAAATAGAGTCCAGCAAGATCAAAACAAGATATGAGACTGAGACGTCTACTCCCTCCGTCCCAAAATTCTTGTCTTAGATTTGTCTAGATACGGATGTACACATTCGTATGTAGACAAATCTAAGACAAGAATTTTGGGACGGAGGGAGTATTAAAAAAGATAAGAGAGACACAATTAATTGTGAACAATAAAACTGTATGTTACCTGCCCCACTTTTACCACCCAGTAAACATCTTTGCAGCGCAACAGAGAGCTCAGCAGACAATTCTTCCGAACCTCTACCCTAAATAAAATAAAATTTAGGGCAAATAAGTCAATTATGAGCCAAAAAAACCTTCAAACGGAATGTGATCACAAAGCAAACAAAAACAATTTCTGATATAGCAGTGTTTCAAAGTCAAGGATGTTCAGTCTGCTTTTTCTCTCGCATAGCAATCTACTGCTCTGCTGTACAGCTCTGCCCCTTATGAGTTGTGCATTTGTCTAACAAAATAGTAATTAGGCTTGTACTCCTAATTAGTTTAGATCTTTTAATAATTAGAACATGAATGCTTTAACTAATACTACCTCCTTTCTGCTTTGAAAGTCCCACGTGTATCCCTAGACCGCCAATTCGACGAATGTAATATAAATTGCATATCACATTGTATATTTGTTGTATATCATTAGAAAATATAGCATCTAAAGTTTCCAATGGTATATCTGTTGTGATACATAACTCGTGTTATGTTGGTTCAATTGTCGACCTAGGGATACGCGTGGGCCTTTTAAGCCGGATAGTAGGTAGCAGCGTATACATTTTGTTACATGGTGCATAGCAGGAACATATTTTCGCACTTCAATGCTTATTTAGCTTTAATGCATACTATGATTACATAAGGAGTGCATCGTTGAAAGGAACCTATCTGCAAGGCCAAATAATAATAATATCAAATATCAAATAGCTTTTGATATTTCTTCACAGTATTACTAATGACCACACTACTCTTCATAGCCAACAATTCCATCATTACAATACCAGTATCCATTGTTCAGTGAAGAAAAACAGTAAACCGACTCATGTCTATGTCTATTACATAAAAGAACCACATGAGATAACCTAAGTATAACACAGAAATAGTTGCTGATTCAGATTAGTAACATAAGAGATTATTCTGTTTTTTCAGTATGATCCAAGTACAATGCATTACCAACCTCAAACATAGGCGCAGCAGTTGGACTACAATCAACATAAATGGAAACTTTTCCTTTGTCGGGATGAAGAATGGTTGGTTTCCCCAACTCAGCCTGCAGATGAATATTGATAGTAAGAAAAGAAAAACGTAAAAATAGAACTAAAACGGAGGAATAAGTAGAATAGAACATGCCAAGAGTTTTTTTTATCATCTCAAAGCTTCCAACACCGACAAGTTATGAATGTGAACCACGTTATTAGAACAATAAATGCTGAGTGATAGACAGTTACTTTTTGCTATGATTTTCAAAACAGAAACGTACTGTATAATGCAAGATATCTTCCATAGGGCAGAAATTATCATACATACACATATACAATATGCATAACTCTGAGGCTGATTCATAGTCGGTTAGGTGCAAGGGAGCATACCTTGACGCTGGCGATGACTTCGGTCGCACCCATCCTAACACGCGCCGAGCCGTTGGCCTACAAGCACCACCACCCAATCCGAAAAAAGTTTAAGCCACGGTAGCAGCCCCGAGGAAGGCGTACGAATTCTTCACATACCTGAGGGATGATTCCTGTCTCGACGGTGAGGGCCCGGAACTGCAGCCGCGTGCGGCCGTCGGCCCTGAGGTCCTGCGCAATGCCGCCGCGGATGAAGTGCTTCTCCCCCTCCGAGAGCCCCACCATCGTATCGTCCCGGGCACGGCGCGAGGCGGGAGAGCCTTGCGTGGCGGCGCGGAAGGCGGAGGGAGCTTGGGGTACTGTCGAGGTTTAGGTCCCCGGAGATTGAGGAGGCGGCGGCGGCGGGTGCGAACGCTTGGGACGAGCGATTGTGGGCCGAGAGAAACAAAGGCTTGCGTGTATATTATTATCAGCAGTCCCCTGGGGAACTTGGGCCGGAGCGCGAGTTTTGGGACGCACTGCGTGTTTGGTTGCCCGGACCGAGCCCAGTCTGGCCCAAGCGGAAAAGGAGAGGCCTGTTTGGTAGCCTGGTTTTTTTGTTGGGTCTGCACCGCACGATTCTCAAAGTAGCTCAGAGTCTGGCTTGCTGGAAACCCTAGGATCGGCAGTTTCTCGCGAGGCAGGCTGAGTGCGGCGCGAGGTCGCACGGGCGGGAGCGAGGCGCGGGCGAGGGGCGATGGCGGGAGATGGAAATCTGGCGCGCCGTCCCGACGCCAAATTAGCCTCACCCCCCTTTCACTCGCTCGCCCATAGCCACTGCCCCCCTTTCTTTGCTACTGCCTCACCACCGGCAGCGGCTGCGATTCCAGATCTGCACTAGAGGGGACGGCGACGGCGGCGCCGGAAGAGGCGGCGGCGTTTGCGGCGGATCTGGTGCTCCCCTTGCTGTTGGCCATCGTCTAGTCGACCTAGTCTGTGCCATGGCTCCCCCTACACCGTCCTCGTCTCCGATGCCGGTAAGCAGCCCCCCCCTTTGTTAGCTCAGTGGTTAGGCCGTTAAGCTAGGTGTAGGATCGATTTCCCACTAAACGAACCGTCGATGTCGACTAGGTTATGGACGCACGGATGAGGCTGATAATCCAGGCAGCAGCACTAATTAGTGTGATTCAGGCATGGGTCATGTTCATGCACCAGAGAGTTGTTCGTCGTGCTGGAAGACCTTTGATTCGCTATGGTCCATTATTTCCCCGAGAACAGGAGAGGATCCAAAATCTGAACTACATCTACAACTGCAATAACGTCGAGGCTCTGTGGATGCTTAGAATGAAAATAGCACCATTTGCCAGGCTTGTTGAGACCTTCAGGAGCATGGGGCTGTTACAAGATAGCATCAACACCAGTGTCGAAGAGCAAGTGGCCATGTTCCTCCATGTTGTTGGTCATAACTAGAGGTTCAGGGTCATTCACAACACGTTCACGAGATCAATGGAAACCATCTCTAGGTACTTCAAACAAGTGCTTTTTGCTATTGGGGAGCTTAGGGGAGAGATGATCAGGAGACCATCTGGTCAGACTCCACCCAAGATTCGCGGAAAACCAAGATGGTATCCATACTTCAAGGTGAGCATTGACAATATACACTTTTCATGGCTTGATATGCTTGTATTGTTTAAGTTGAGCACTAACACAGGCTTGTGATGCCATTTTCAGGACTGCATTGGGGCAATAGATGGTACTCATGTCACTGCCATAGTTCCTAGGTCACAGTCTGCGGCATACATGGGAGGAAGCACTACACAAGCCAGAATGTGCTTGCTGCTGTTGACTTTGATCTGAGGTTCACATATGTGTTGGCTGGCTGGAAGGGGTCAACGCATGATGCTAGCATTCTCACTGACAGCATGAGTCGACCTGATGGGATCAACATCCCCGACGGCAAGTTCTACCTTGGAGATGCTGGCTATGCATGTCGGCCGGATATTCTTCCACCCTTCAGGAAAACAAGGTACCATCTCAACGAGTTCTCTGGTAGGAACTTTCCTAGGACTGGACAGGAGCTGTTTAATCTCAGACACCCCAGCCTTAGAGTAACTGTTGAGAGGGCATTCGAAGCTCTGAAGAATAGGTTTAAGATCCTGGATCAGAAGCCATTCCACCCATACTCCACTCAGGTTAAGCTAGTTCTTGCTTGTTGCATTCTGCATAACTGGATCCTCCAGTGGGGCTCTGATGAACACGTGCCTAAGGAGGAAGAGGTCGAGCCTGACGATGTTGTTAGCTCTGGCCATGGTGTGGAGGCATTTGACAATGATGCTTGGAAGAACAAAAGGTTGGAGTGGGCAGAGGCAATGTGGCTTAAAAGAGGTCAGTGCAGGATTTGAAGAAGAGGAAGAAGAAGAAGCAGCAACAGAAGCACGGAAGAAGAGGAAGAAGAAGCAGCATCAGCAGCAGCAGCAGAAGAGGAAGATAAAGCAGCAACACCGATGAACTATCCCCTATTTAGCCAATGGATCTTAATAATTTGAACTGTCATTTGATTGTCGTTAGGATGAACTATCATTTGTTTAACTAGCTGGCACTATGTTCAGTTTGTGTGTGGTAAGGTCACCACTAGTTAGAAGTGATGACAACACTTTATGCAGGTTGCAACCAAACACCATGTCATATGTGCACCGAATGCAATGCAGGCAGCCAAACGCTGGGTTAAAAATGGTTGTCTCATACAACTAGGGGCATGCAGGTAACCAAACTATGTGCATGTGATTTTTTTTGCCCTGCATCCCCTCAAACCGGCTCATATGAGCCAGGCTCGCCGGGCCAGGCTGAGTCGGCAACGGAACCAAACACACCCCTAATGAGTCCTCCTCGCCAGTGCTTTAAGAGCCCGATAGGAAAGCTGGCCCTCACGCGCGATGCCAGCGGGCTGCAGCCCAATGCTGTGCCAGCTGGCTTTCCCATTCAATCGCTCGACTGCTTCACCCGCTGGCACGTTTTAAGCTAATTAGTTCCTTTTCTTTTATTTCTCTAAAAAAAGCTAGGTTTTAAAGATTTTCCCTGCAATGGGTAGAAACAAAAACATAAAATTTTTGAAAAAGTTCACAAACATAAAAGAGTTCATGAATTTGAAAACAAAAGTTCATTGATTTTGAAGAAAAGTTCACAAATTTGAAAACAAGTTCATCAGCGTTGAAAAAAAGTTCATCGAGTTTAAAAAAAGTTCATCGAGTTTGAAAAAAGTTCATCAAGTTTGAAAAAAAAGTTCATCGAGTTTGAGAAAAAGTTTATCGAGTTCAAAAAAGGTCATCGAATTTGGAAAAAAAGTTCATCGAGACTAAAAAAAGTTCATCAAGTTTGAAAAATGTTCATCGAATTTGAGAAAAAGTTCACCAAATGTGAAATATAAAGTTCACCAAATGTGAAAAACAGCTGCCTTTTTTGTTTTATAAAGAAAAGAAAAAGAACAATACTGTTACATCTAGTCATCTAGTCCAACTGGTTGCTTCGATCGCTATCTAAACGAACGGGCGGGGTTCGAGTCCCGGCAGGTGCACCTTCTTTGTGGTTTTTAAGAAACAAACAGGAAAGCAGGATGGGTCGGCCCGCTATAAAACCAAGTGTAAAGCAGGGGTGTGCGCCCTGTATGGAATGACCTGTATTCGGCGCTTAAGGTGCCGAATAGGATTTGGCCGCGCTAATTGCCAGAAACAGGCAAATCCTATTTGACGCTTATGCGCCGGTTCACCAACTGGCGCTTCTAATTGGGTCGGCCCGTTCCGTTCTTTTTTCCTGGGTTTCAAACAAAAAAGTGTGAGGCGATGGGGAGTCGAACCCGCCCCGATGGACTAGTTAGTTCTTTTTTCTCTTTTTAATCGTTCTTCAGTTCAGTTTCTTTTTCTATTCTTTTTTTCTCATCTTTCTTCGTTTTCTTCAGTGCACGTTATTTTAATGGAAAACTCTTAAAACTATCCGGCTGATTTCTGGAGAAATAAACCGCGTCGTCTCCGTGCCACGCCTCCTCTCACGTTGTGCTTCCTCGGTCAACTGTCCAGCCCACACATCGCATCTCTTGCTGGGCCCCACGCACCGCTTAATTAGCATCCTTATCCGCCAACGCAGGAAGCCACGGCCACACATTTTTCCTGCCGCATCGAGGTCTTCCCCTTCCTCTAGATCGATGCCAACGCCGGCCACCGCTGACGCAAGCTCTGCTCCCCCTCGGCTGCTGCCCCTGCCCGCTGCTACAGAGCAAAAAGGGAACAACTACTACCCGCCGTTTTTTGTTTCTATTGCAGGAGTGCTGCAACGGGGTCGCCCGACGCTGCAATGAGGAGTGCTCATCGTTGCTCACCGGCGCTACAATGGAGTGGGGCATTGCTGCCGGCGGCGCGACAATGGTGTTGCAATGGAGCAGGCACTGCTTTTGGCGGCGCTACGACGGCGCTGCAATGGAGCGGGCGCTGCTGCCATCGGCGCCACAAGTCAACGAGGACGGCGCTGCAACAGAGTGGGTGGCGCTGCTGCAAGTCAAGGAGGGCGCCGCTGCTGCCATCGACACGACCAGTCGAGGAGGACAACGCTGGAACGGAGTGGGAGGTGGCGCTGCAATGGAGCGGGGGCGGCGGTGTTGGAAATATGCCCTAGAGGCAATAATAAATTAGTTATTATTATATTTCCTTGTTCATGATAATCGTTTATTATCCATGCTATAATTGTATTGATAGGAAACTCAGATACATGTGTGGGTACATAGACAACACCATGTCCCTAGTAAGCCTCTAGTTAACTAGCTCGTTGATCAACAGATGGTTACGGTTTCCTGACCATGGACATTGGATGTCGTTGATAACAGGATCACATCATTAGAAGAATGATGTGATGGACAAGACCCAATCCTAAGCCTAGCACAAAGATCGTAGTTCGTATGCTAAAGCTTTTCTAATGTCAAGTATCATTTCCTTAGACCATGAGATTGTGCAACTCCCGGATACCGTAGGAATGCTTTGGGTGTACCAAACGTCACAACGTAATTGGGTGGCTATAAAGGTGCACTACAGGTATCTCCGAAAGTGTCTGTTATGTTGGCACGAATCGAGACTGGGATTTGTCACTCCGTGTAAACAGAGAGGTATCTCTGGGCCCACTCGGTAGGACATCATCATAATGTGCACAATGTGATCAAAGGGTTGATCACGGGATGATGTGTTACGGAACGAGTAAAGAGACTTGCCGGTAACGAGATTGAACAAGGTATCGGTATACCGATGGTCGAATCTCGGGCAAGTACT